GCGCCCCCCGAACCCAACGGCCGCGGGGGGCGCTGTCATTGGCCGGGGCCAAAGCGAGGCTCCGGGGCTTCTCGCGCGGCCCCCGGCTTCCTCAGGGGAGCGGGGGGCGCCACGAGGAGGCGGCGGCGGCGCACAAAGATGTCCGCTGGGCCCGGGGCGGCCCCACCCCCACCCCTGGAGCGTGCGTGTGTCCCCCAGCACCGCGGCGGGGCCGGGGCTGAGGGACAGCTCCTCAGTCTGCCAGCCAGCAAACTTCTCACCACTTCCGTGGAAGTTTGTAGCCGGCTGCCTGCTCCCCCCCCCCAACTTCAGGAGGGCTTCCAGGCAGCACCAGTCCCCCTGCATTTGGGCTGCCCCCGCCTTGCTTTTTGGTTTTGCTTGGTGGCCCTTAGGAAGTGGCCAGGAATGAGAGGAAGTTCCAGGGGATTGGTTTTCTTTTCTTTTTGTGGTGGTGACTTCCAGCCGCTCCGGCTTGTCCCTCTGTGACTGGAGAGCCTGGCCAGGGGGTAATTCCGGCTCTTCATTTTTCTGTCACCCTTCTGTTTCTGAGACGCTGTGGATGCCTGAGCTCCTGTTGGAAAGTTTGCAGGGCTTAAGGGCATAAGCCGTAAGATGGCTGTCTGGTCTTGCCAAGTTTTGTCTGGAGAAGTTGGCAGACCTGATTCAGGGAAGGGGAGTCCTCTGAAGGGCCTTTAGTAACGGGGAGTATCGATGGCAAAAGGTGGTGGATGCATTTGGTAGGTCACTGGGATCCTTAATCTGCATCCCTGTTGAGCAGATATTTTTACATCTTCTTGAGTTTTCTTTGGTTTGGGTTTGTTTTTGGGGGCGGGGGTTGGTAAGGAAGGTCCCTTATTTTCCTGCGCCTTCATCAGTGAAGACAGTGATCAAGACTTATTGAGTGTGGTCCCATCTCTGTTTTTCTTTCTTGGGTCTCTGTTTTGATTGAGACAGGTTTTATCTGAGAATCATTGTTACACTGATTTCCAAAATTAAATGTGCCTGTGTCAAAATATCTAAAAACAGGAGCATATTTTGGAAATTTTATGTTAACTGGGGTTGAAATGAAGGTAAGTTTCCTTCTTTGCAAAAGCTTTGTCCATTCAGCAGCTGTATGTAGAAGGATTTCCTTTGCTCTTGTTGCTGAGGTTAGAAACTCTGGAGAGAGGGTGCATGATTGTAGGTCAAGAATTGCAGTTGGAAAACAGACAGTTGGAAAGACTCTGGAAGAATTACCCTCTTGAAGAGCCTATGGATCGTGTGTGGTTTTTTTTCCTCATGGGTTCTTGTTGACTGTCTTAATGTCCACTATTTGTTCAACACAATGCATCTTGAGAAGATGATCTGAAACATTTATTGAGAAGCATCATCTTTTTTTCTTCCCCTCTGTGGTTTTGAAGGAGTCCTTGTCCATGAAAGTCTTTACTGATTTCCCCCTCCCCCCCACAAGTGACAAAACAACTAGTGAGGTAGATGGACTGGAGAAACTTGGCAGGACAAGTGAAAAGGAAGAAGAAAGATTTCCTCTTATTTTCTGCCAAATTCATCCACCTAAAAAGAAATTGAAGAATGTTTCCTTAACCCTCCCATTGTAAGTTCATGTGAGCAACATATCTATTGGTGATTTTTTTGGTTGAGTTAACTTGGGATCCATAATTCCCTCCACTATCTGGATTGATCCGTTGAAAACATTGTCTGAGGTGAATTTTTTTGTTTCAGCCCTTCTGGTTAGCCTCTGCAATGATGGCTGGGATTGAATGATGAAATATGGAGGTCTTCCTGATACAACTACTTGGTAATGGTAGTTCAGAAGCAATAAACATCAGTCTGATATGTAGTGGGCTGTCCCTCCAAAGATGCTGCAATGAGTGTTGGACGACTTGTGCTGGAAATGACTCAGAATTTTTTTGTGGCTCCTGAAGATTGTAATCCTTTGGATACAAAGTGTTTCCATTTTGCCTATCCACATTTCTGTTATAGTTGGTGATACGTATGTCCCCATGCATGAATTTCTTATAGGTTTGCTTATATCAATACATGCTGTTGGGTTTTATGTGGGAGCAACTGAAACCAAGCTTATATGAATTCAACCAGTATATAGTGTTCCTGCTTTTTGCCTTGTCATTGTTTGTGAATCTAATCATGAGGTGACTTGAAATCTATCAAGTCACTTTTTTTCAAATATTGCAGTCAGTGCTTCCATAATTTTCACATCTTTCTAAAGTAGAAAAAAATATTTGATAGTCCTTTTCTTAAAATTATTAATAGTCTGGATTTTGTATTCTGAAAATGTATGATTTTACTTCAGGAGATGGTGTTTTTTGTGTTAATGTGAAAAATCTACATAGATTTAATGGAATGACAAGTTGTTGCTCATTGCAAGTGTAATTGGCTGACATTCCTTAGTTTTATGCAGGAGGTCAGACTAAATCATCTAATATAGGTCCCTTTGGGCATTAATATCTATGAAAATTACAAATGATATATATAGTATTTAGTCTTGGGTATAAATGTGCTTGTGTTACAGAGGGCTACTGTTCAGTTTCTTTGCGTATTTCTGAAATAGCCCTCTATTTAAAAATTTTCCAGGCTGAATTTCTCCTGGATGTTGTATAGGATTTACTCACTTAAAGATTCTGGCTTATTTCACAGCAGTGGTAGATCTGGCACAGCTAAAGTTGTGTTACAGATTTCAGTTTAAATGGGGTCTTAAACCTTTATTTTGTGTCTTAAAAAAAACAAAACAAACCTTCACCCAAGTGGCAAAAATGAATACACACTATATATAAACTTAGAATACTATTGAAAGTTTTCTGTACTTTGATGGAAAATGAATTATAGAGATGAGGCTCCCTCATCTACCATTTTTTTGAACTGGACTTGTGTAGCTTTTATTGGACCTCTGTAGCAGAAAGTCTAAGATGCCCTGGTGTTTTACAATTATTCAGCCACAATGACAAATTTATGTGAAATTGTGAACCAGGCAAACTTTAATTAGACAACAAATGTGCTATCGCATGAGCATTGCCTCTCTTGCAAGTGGTAATAAAAACACAAGGTCAAGGAGGAAGTGGGGGAAGAGAGGAAGAGACTTGATTACCTACTCCTCTGCTGTCCAACATGACTAGGGGGTTCAAATTTTGCCTCTAAGAGTTATTTTAATTATCATGCAATTCACTACCCTTATTGTCCAGGGAAGAGTTACTGGAAATAACCATGCTTGCCTTCACACCTTCTGCCCCTCCCCCCACCTCCCAGTTAAAAGCAAAAAATTAGAGTTTAGTAGAAAGCTTTTGCAAAGTCACATCACAGTAGGAACAGAGCCCTTTAATGTGACAAACCTACTTTTTTTTTTTTTTTTTTACCACTTT